GAGCCAAGATAAACTGTGATGATGCTTCTTGATTGCACCAAAATCCCCAGAAAGAGGAAGTGCCAGGAAGAGCCTGAACGGTGGTTCCTGTGCTCCTGGCCAGTGGCCTCAGATCCTATCTGAAAAATACAGACATTTATGGACTTAACCTTTCATGATTTGACTGCCCTATGTCTTGCTAACTTAAATCAAAACACTTGAGTTAACTGGGTAATTAGGGGCCTTGAATATTATGTCTTACAGTGTCAAATTGCTTTGTAGTCTTATTTTTCCACTGTTCGTAAAAAGAGGAGGTTTGTGAAGGAATTAATATTCCTTTTAAATGGATCTGCCTATACAAATTTGTAAGAGACAGTAAGCTGTATGACTCTGAACACTATATGGTGCAAGATAGAAGAAGTGGCACAACACCATACAAAGCTGTGACCCTCTGCTAGGAGGTTCTCTGTGTAAGGAGGGTAGGGACTCCTCCACTGTCTCACAGATTTTTTTTTATATCAAATATGCAGAACTTACAAGTAAAACACACATATGTGTTTTAGATTTCAAATCTGGAAATTCATCCTAGGATCTGAGAAATAAATGAGATTATTCTTCACATATATCAGCACTGTATAGTTGCTAGATACTTTAAATATCTCTCCTTTCTGGTAATTACATCTACAGATTTCCCAAAGAAATCCTAACCTAGACTTGACACAGGCTGTTCTTTAGCTGGCATGTCCCGCAGCTCCGTTGTAGTTCTCTCCTCCTGTAGCTTTAACCGTGGCAATGTGCTTATAAGCTTGAAGGACAAGATCAGTTCTTGCAGTGTTTTTGACCCCATTGCTGACAGAAGTGCCTTTTCTAAGGGAGTCTTATCCACTTATCTTCTAAGGGAGTGTGTTCACTTGGAAAGCAAATAGAAACCTCTTTTCCTCTCCCTTACACATCTCACAAGTAGTCTGATCGATACTGGTGATCCCATTATAGCAAATAATATGAAAAATACTTTAAAAATACTTTCAATTCATACTCCACTGAGGACTTGAAAACAGATCTAGCTGTAATCCATTCACCCCACCCTTCCTAATCCTCAAATCAATGCATTCCTCATAATTTCAGTTTTTAAAATTTTCATAACATTTGAGGAAAGTATATTTAAATGATGATTTGCTACTTGAAAGGCTAAAAGACCACAGTGTGCTTCAAAATATTGTATGAACAGTGTCTAGCACAGCTTTCTCTCTCTGCAGTGTCTCAGGGGCTGCACTGTTCCCACTGTTGTTTTGCCCTTTAGTCCAAATAACATAATTTTCTTGTGTTTCCCATCAGCAGCACAATGGCCATTAACCAATCACAACGTTTTTCATTGAAATAGCAAGGATATGCTCTAATTGCCTCCCAAACAAAGGCCTTGATTACATTTAAATTCCAGGATTTCTGAAGGTGCTTTCTTCATGGCAGCAGATTATTTGTTTCTATCTGATTACTCCTTCAGCACCAGCATTTCAGTCCTGTGCATCCCAGACATAAACAGAACATCTTTAGCTCAAAAGTAAATTTAGGGAAGGAACAGTATATTAAAAGGCATAGTTGAGCAATTTCTATACAGTACAGTGTTTATCAGCCTAACTTTTTTTTTTTTTTTTGAAAAAATATGTTAAGTGGTGAGGACTTCTTATGAAACAGAATCATTTTAATAAGAGAGCTTAATCCTGCTTCTCAAATCTTTGCCATTTCTAGAACTGCTCGGCCATTTTTGCTGTCTAGTGAAACTGACCCAAGAGGTGACAAGGTTTCTGTGTGAAACAGCAGCAAAGGACACGTGCTGGGCCCCTGGAGGGGTATGAATTCACTTTGCAGGAATACAGTTGCCCCCAAAATGAATTTACATAAAACAGCCCATGAAAATTCCTAAGACACCAGCATGGACAAAGATTCCCTTGCAGGAGAGTCAGAGGCTTCTCTTCTATCTGCTCCACTTCCTGTGGAAAATACCAGGTTGTGGGATTCAGTATCACATGGTCAGCTATACATCACCATGAGATGTTTTCTATCACAGATTGCCAAATTCTGTCCAGTCTGAGGCAATAGCTATGCTACCCAGAGCACAGATGCAGCTTTTACTTGATTTCAGTGCTCCCTGTGGGAGCACCAGGGCTAAGGAGGGCTCCTGTCATGCCAGCTTGTTTCTCCTGACCTAGGAGATGTCAGGCAGGGCAGAAGCAGGCAATGCTGGCAGGTCTGTAGCAACCAGAGGATGAGCACTGCATGCAGGCATGTCCCACTGCCTTGGGAGATGCAGGCAAAACAAGGTGCGACAGAGCCTCACAGTATTCACAGAGTGACCAAAGGGAGAAGAGTGTAAGTGTGGCCCCCTAAAATCAGCCAAGTTTTCATTACCTGGGGTGGACACTTGATCAAGCTGATTGCTTTAAATAGATCTGTCTGCATGCCAGCATCAGGCTACTGATATTTCTAGATTAAGTGCATACCCAAAAAAAGTAAAAAGTTTAGAAAAGAAGAAAAACTAATTTACAGCAAGACATTAAAAGGCCCTTAAGACTACACAATTCATATTCCCCCTAAATTCTCCTGGAGATACCAAGGATTGCTTTATGGACACCAGTATCCCCAAATTCTCCATTTCTGTGCTGATTTGTACCACCTGTCTTATTGTTTTTGCCTTCAGCACTATCAGTTCTGTTGCACTTTTCCTGTTTGGGAAGGTCTCCAGCTCTCATGACATTTTAAAGTGACCTTTGTATAGAGTGAAAGTGCCAAATACTAGGCTTCTAATAACATATCTGCATTCAGTTAGGAAGTTAGAAACCCAGAGCTATAATTATTTTAATTCCAAATCTCTGGAAAAAAATAAATGCAATTAAAATTTCCCTGAGGACAAGAGGACAGAGATGGGTAATGTCACAGAAAAAGAGAAGACAGTAAATAAATAAATGAGGACTAGGTGTGCAGTCCTTTGTCTTTTCTTTTGTTGCTGTTTTCAGATCTGGGAAAATGACGACTTGGTCGAATGTGAATGTTTATTTCCTTTTCACAAGGAAATAAAAAGCTGAAAACTGATACTTTATTGGATAGGAAAAGTTTTCATTTAACCTCAAAGAAACATCTGCAGTTTGCAGCAGGAAAAGTGAAGGAAATGCAGAGCTTGTTTGCAGCAGTAGCTACACCTTTGCCTAGGGCTCAAGGGTGGCAGACTCTGCTTGAAAGGGTCTGGAAGACCACCTCTCCAGAGCTGGGCCAGGGCAAGCAGCTCTGGCAGCCTCCCTGGGACCATGTTGCACTCCAAGGGGAGGGAATGAAGAACCTATAGAGCTAAAACCCAGATTCATAAACTGGTTGCAACCCATAGCATATTCTGAGCTGCAAGACATATGTTCTCATCTCTGTAATAAGAGTCTAGGAGAATAAAATGGAAGCTCACGTACAACAGCAGTTCATGCTCCATGACTGTTCTAATGGAAGCCTGGTGAAAGACCTTCGCTTAAAATATGTGATTACAATCTGTTCGCAAAAGATAATGCAAGGGGCATCGGGCTGCCTCCATTCCTTGTTACTGTCACTGAGGACTTGGAGTCTCAGAAACTCTGGCACTCACAGAGGTGAGTTTTAACGGTGAGGCTAAAGATGGGGGATTTGTGCCTCCATGTGGTTTAGACACCATGATAAATTCTTCCATAAAACTGCTGTTCATAAATCACACAGACTTCTCCCACAGCTCATATTTTCTAGGATTCCTCCTGTTTGCCTTCTGGCAGCTGCCTCCAGCTCATCTGCATCTACATAAAAGTGTACCCAAAGATGGACTGAGCCTCTAGTTTTTCCACTGATGGGTAGGAAAGAAAGGTGACCTTTTCATTTTGCAGTCACATATGATATCCATCTCTTAAATATCTGCTTGGCCAGTTCAGATTCTGATGTTCAGGATCTCTTTTAGACCTGAGAATTTGTGTTCATGACTGCAAAATCAGTAGGCAAGGGTTCACTTCAGCACTGCAGCTCCTAACAAGCCAAAATAAACACACACGTCTCTCACAGTTGTTTTAACCCCACAGAGAAGACAAGGAGAGCCTTGCATGATGGCATGAAGGCAAGGACAAGGGGTGAAATACTCTGCTTCACGTAGTTAGCATGAACATTGTGGTATTCTACACTGGCTAATGGAAACAAAAATTGATAAGCTGCCACAGTACTTTTTGATTAAGCAGATTTCCAGAGTCTACAGTTTATCTGGTTTGTCCTTAGTTAATAGCAAAGTAAATGGAATGGGAAGAATGAATAGCTTGGCTCCTGAGCTGGGCTTGGTAGCAGACTCTATCCAACAAAATTTCTTCCATGTGCTTAACATTAGGCACATGCTAAAATGCTGTGCAAGAAGTAGACTGGGTTGCTGAGCACTTTCCAATTGAAGCCCTCTAGCCTCAAGATACCTGGAGTTCATTCACATCTGCTTCACTCTTTGTTTCACAGGCGAAGAGCTCTTTTGGCAGAGGAACATGGAATATACTCTAGTATTTTTTTTTCTTCAGTAGCTGTACTCTTCCAAATATATATTGGGATAAAAAAAATGGTACTGAAAGAAATGTAAACACTCTGGGATGAGAATGAAAACTATTATGTGGTAAAACCATTAATCTGAAACAATAAATCATACTGAAAGTAAAAAATTCTACTGGTTAAGATGATTTTGTCAATTAGAACTATTCAGCAATAAATCATTTAGAGGAAAGGAATATTGAATTAATGAGATGATAACATTTGCACATATCACAGAAGCAGTGTTAACTCCTTCTCAGAAGCAGATCGGTTGCATTTCACTATTTTTCTCAGAAATAGTCTGACTATTTATACAGAGAGGAACAATAAAAAAGATGGTGCCATCTAAGAAAGAAAACGTAAATCATTTGTGTGGAGACAAATACTCTAATTTATGTGTCTAGAAGCTTTTATTTGATCTCCACAATGCTTTGGATTAGTTACATTATGGCTGTGAAATATCAAATTATGGTGCCATCATTTTCCTAATAAAAGGAAATAAGAAAATAAAGAAGCACAGTTCGTGAGGCTTTGGTCACTGAACTAAGCCAAGTTTTAAGAGCCAGTTCCAGAGCAGCGGGGGAA